CGGGGCAGCCATTTAAATTTAAATGAAGCCGCGATTATTTTAATCGCGGCTTCATTTCCCTCTTCCGATCTGGCTAATCTACATGCCTCCGTCGAAGGAGGCATGTAGTCTAGACACACCCCAGTAGACTTCAGTTTTCTTCACTTCCAGCACTTGGCTACCGTTTTGTTAGAATCAGGATCCCGCCCCATTGAAAAGTGTGTGATAGTTTTGCCCTTCAGTTTAATCCGAGCAAGATTATGGGTGAAATCATAGCCCTATTGAAATCAATGTAAAACATTCACTTTGACTTCAATAGGACAAAGATTTCACTCCAGGTCTTCAGACAGCTCCCAGGGTCTGTGTCAGTAATGGCTATGTTGTAAATTGTGGCTGAAATGAGACTTGTTGGGAGTGAGAACTAAGGAAGTTAAATTGCAGTTATCTGGCTAATCATGTAGTCGATACAGTTTGAATTGACTACACAATTAGTCAATAAGGACCACTCTGCAGAGCCGCCGGGCTCTTAATACATTTAAATTGCAGAGGCACAACATCCCGGGCCAGCGTGAGCTGGAACTGCTCAGTCCTGAGTCTAGCAGTACTTGTTGGTGGCAGACTGCCCTGTCTACCATGAACAGGGGCTACTGTGGGCTGCTGCTGGAGCAGCCTCTATTCATGTTAGCCAGAGTTGGCCATGGGGAGGGGCTGTTCCGGCAGCAGCCCCTGTCCCTGGCCAGCCCTGTCTGCCGTGAACAGAGGCTGCTCCGGCGCCAAGGCTGGCCATGGAGAGGGGCTGCTGTGAACAGGGGCTGCTTGACGACAGCAGCCCCTGTCTGTGTGGGGGGCCCAACTCCCCGCTGGGACCCCCAGGGACAGAGGCTGCTTCGCAGCAACCTCCTCTATCCCCCACCCCTTCACTGCCTCTAATAGGGGCAGAGTGGCACCATGGAGACAGTGCTGGGGGGGAACCAGCTTTTAAGCCAGCTCTCCCCAGCACCAGCTCCTGTTTCCTTCCTCCCGTTGCAGCCTCTCATAGAGGCAGCAACAGGGGGAAGCAAGTAGTCGATACACCAGTCGACTACTCGCTAACATCTCTAGTGAGAAGCTCTATGAAAATGTATCAGGCATCATGTTCAAGTCTAGATTCCCAGGCTTTGGTCTCTTCAGTCCTGCTTTACCATTCTGTGGGCTTTTGGGGATCACTCTTTACGTCTGATCCATGGGTGAGGAAGAGAGTCCACTGTTAGAGAGAGCTGTGCGTTATCTTTGGAAAAGAGGCGAAATTACCATTTTTTGTTTCTTTTCCTGGCACATCAGCGTCTGTGAAATGAAGATGGAGGATATTCTATCAAGCCTACTGAAAGATGATCGTTTCAAGGGTCGCCAATGGGGAAACAAGGTGAGCAAATGTTCTCATTTGGAATTGCTTACATTTTAATTTCCTAACTGGGTTTGATGAATAAGCTTTTCCTTGGCGCTCTTTTTTCAAGCAAAGGTGTTAGTAAATCCATGATCTGGGCAATGCAAAATGACAGTTGAATTTTGCTTTTCCACAATTGCCTAATCTATGATCCTTGACATTTTTGCCCCAAAATGCGTGTCTGCAATTCTCAGCAAAAATGTCACAGCAGACAGTGCTATGGTGAGGGCTTTTATGGCCAAGAAACTGCGTTGCTCTCTTTTACAAACCTACTGCAGTCCATTAGCTAGCCAATTCTGAAATGGTGTATCTGATTTCAAGCTATCCAACAATCCTCCAAGTAAATAAAGTTTAATTTGTGATCCATTCTCCATGCTTTTGAAATTCTCATCTTTGCCTCCGATGGGAGTCTTTCCAGTGACACCCACTTTGGCTCAGCCCTTACTTGCTAATTCACAGAATGTAGACACTTGCGATGGATTTCTCAGTCATTGGTGCAAATTGGAGAGTACTGCAGTTTAAGAGCCCTTAACTTAGATAGACGTATCCAGGGTTTTTTTTCAACTCTCTCATTATTTTGCCAATTTGCTCATTCTGTTCCACCAGCCAACAGTCTTCAACTTGTCCACTGTCTTCCAGTTTCCTACAAATGGCTCTGTTGGGAAATGTGGGTGTTCCCAGGCCTTTGAAAAATAGTCGTCTGTATGGCTTCTAAAATGAAGATCCGTGAATCATCTGACATTTCTATTCACAGCTATGCATTTCTGGCCCGTTGCTCAAGATAATATATTAGGAACATAAGCAACTAGTCAACTATCCGATAAGCAGAAGAAAGTGGGGGGCAGGAGTCGGTGCTGGGGGGAGTCAGCTTAAAAACCGGTTCCCCCCAGGACCATCTCTGTGTGGGGCAGGGGAGGCAGGGACTTAGTGGGGACCGGGCGCAAGCTGGGAATCCGCTGATTCTCGGCTAGTGCCCAGTCTCAGACTCTGCACCTCTGCTTTTTAAATGTATTAAGAGCCTGCTGGCTCTTACTACATTTAAAAATCAGAAGCACAGTGTGGGGGACCTGGTGCGAGCCAGGACAGCTGATCCCCAGCTCAGACCAGGTCCCCCCTGCTGCGCTCCAGCCTTTTTACATTTAAGGCTGGTGCGTGGGGAGGGCGGGGGACCTGTCGTGAGCCGGGAATCAGCTGTCCTAGCTCACGCCAGTCCTCCCCGCTGCGCACCAGCATTTTAAATGTATTAAGAGCTGGAGGCTCTTAATACATTTAAAAGGCTAAAGTGCAGCAGGGGGGGACCTGGTGCGAGCTGCGAATCAGCGATCCCAGCTTGTGCTTCAGCCTTTTAAATGTCTTAAGAGCCTACTGGCTTTTAATACATTTAAAAGGCAGAGCCGCAGCGTGATTTGCTCCCGGGGCCAAGAGCTAACCCCACTGCAGCTCCCCTGCTTATCGACTAATCAGCTAGTCGATGGAAAATCCATCGACTAGTTGATTAAACTAAATTTAACATCCCTACAATATATAGTATATAGGGATTGGGTTTTTTATGTTCTTTTGTATGTTGACTGGAACAAATCCTTATTGTTCAGAGTGTGGTCTGTAAAGTACTCTAACAAATACATTGTTTAGTAAGTATGTGTGTTAGTACTAAGGATTCATTGGTGGGAATTACAGATTGCTGCATGCAGTAAAAATGACCACCAGCACTTTTTCTATGCATAAAAATGTCACCACGTAAAAGTCCAGTATTCTTGAAAGGAGTGGCATGCACATTCTTGCAATTTGCAGAGGCATAGAACTTCTCTGGCCCCAGATTTGTCAGTGGAACTGACAGCTACTTTGGCCCTGGGGATGCAACAGGGTCACAGAACATGTCCCTCCAAATGGGGTCATATTTTATTCCTGTGTATGCCCCTGCCTGGAAGTAGCTTTGTGTATTCTGTTGGAAACTTGGAATGATTATAATACTCCCGTTTCTAGCTCTAAAGATATCCCATTTTACATCTGGCACTGGCCCAGGACAGAGTAGAACCCATCTCAGGCCAGTGTATGAAGAGAGAAATATTTCTCTGGAAGGTTTTGAGTTGTTTTTTTCAATTGCAGCTGTTTAAAAGCTGTCCAGAGGGCTTTAGGAGCCCAGTGCTTGTGAAAATCAGGCCCATGGTGCATCAGATTAAGACCCTAACCACTGAAAAGTCTCACACCAGTAGCCACTTTTGAAAATATTTGCCTTAACAAGCTGTTTGTGCCTCATTTCCCCCATCTGTAAATTAAGGATAACCGTTAACCAGAACAAACTAAACCAGTATTGGAAAACCAACTAGTATCACTATATATTATTTGTGGTTGAACTTAGGCGAGGGGTAGCACAAATAACAAAAAGATAATCCCTGCCCGAAAGAACTTGCCAATCTAAAGTTGCCATCCTGGCCTCATTTAAGGCAGTGGGAAGTTTGCTATTGAATTTAGTGTAGCTGGGATTCTCCCTAACTCGTGGGATATTTTCGACCTGCTGCAGGTTTTTACAAATGCAGAAGTTGGGGCTACAGGATTCAGGTTTAAAAGACTGTGACCAAGAATGGAAATATCTTGTTATGGGAATGAATAGGGATGAAACCAATATAGTTCTGTGGACATTAAATAGTGTTCTATAGATATTACTCTTGAAAAGCTTATAAAATGTAATATTGGATGCAAACCTTCCTGTGGATTTTTGTTGTTGTTGTTGTTGTTGTTTATGGCCACCTGTAGCATTCTCTATCAGGGTTACAATTCTTAAATTCTGTAGGGTGATTTCTAAAAGGTCAAGGGAAAGGGTGACATTCCCTTTCTATAGGACTGTTCCATAAAGCCGGTGCATCAAACTAAGGACAGAATAGACTGTGGATAGAACAGATTAGGGATGTTAAATTTAGATTATTTGGCTAATCGAATAGTCGATGCAATTTGCATAGACTGTTCGATTAGTCGATAAGGGCACCTCCGCCTTCGAAGTGTAGCAACAGCTGCTGGGCTGTTGCTACACTTCAAAGGTGATAGTGCTGCGGGGAACACGAGGCCAGCATGAGACTCAAGCAGTCCCTGCTGGCCCTGTGCTCCCTGCCGCATTTCAAAGCAGCAGCACGGCATGGACCCTCAGGGTCAGCGGGGGAGTCCCGCTGCACAAGGTGTTTCAAAGCAGCAGACCCTGGGCTCCAAGCGCTGCCACTTTGAAGCACCCCATCCTCTTCTCCCCCTACTCCTTGCTCCCTCTTTCTGGTAAAGGCAGCAAGGTGGGGGGGATGAAGCGACTATTCGACTAGTCGTTCACATCTCTAGAACAGACAACGATTGCAGCTTTTAATTCCACTTGTTATCAAAGCGCTCCCCTAACCCAGCCGTGGCATTGCTACTTGCAAATTACAGAGTTCTCGTTCCCTTACCGGCTCTCTGTGCACAGAGTCGTGGACGTGTAATGCTCATGAACACAGGAACCTCATTATAATGCTTTTCGTCTCTCATTGCCTTGAAGTCCAGTAGAAATACCCCTTTGGAACACACATTTTTGGGCTCCTGTGAGCAACTGGGGAGTGAGCTGAAGTGCCTGTAAAATGTATATTTTATATTTAGACACATAAAATATATATGTGGCTGCATCTGGGTGTGTGACTGTTCACCCACCTACAAAGAGAATAAATTTGATCTTTCAACTTTTATGCGGGGAGGGGTTGGAAAAATACCTCTATGGGTTCTAGGGACTGTGCAGGAGAGTGGGAATCAGCCAGGCAAAAAAAGTTAACACCAAATCCTTCATTTTGTTTTCAAGTATCACAGAAGCAGGCCATATTATGGCTTCCCCTTTCTTTTCTTTTTTTAAGCATAAGAATATCCCACCTGTTCTAATTTCTATTAATTCTCTTCCTTAATGAACTCGGAGATTTCCAGTATCCGTCCCCTTCTCCCCAAAAAGCCCCAGTGTTATTAGACATAAGTTTCCATCTTACAAAATAGGTTCTCTATCTTTTCGGGGTTTTAGCACGATGGTTGCTATTTTTCCAATGATGCCATGAAATGCTGTAATAAATGCGGTCGCTCCTTTTGGATTGTGTATATTTTTATTTACGACTAATGTTTATTGTGGCAATGCCTCTGGACCAACCAAGAATGTGATTCCATTGCACAAGGCAAGGCACAAACACAAAGTAGTAGAAGCTTTTATAGAGTATGTAACATAGTACAGAACGCATTCATATACAGTTGAGCGTCCATGAGTTACAAAGGTTAGTACTACTAACTGAGGCAGTAAATATATCTAGAAGGAGAAACAGCCAAGCAAATCAGTACCTCAATACTTCATCTTTTGGGCCTTGACATGCAGTAGAAGGGCGTCAGGTATATTGTCTCTCTGACTTGGGATACTCTTAGGAATGAGGTTTACTCAGGTATATAAAGGATGCAGACTTGCTTGTAGCTGCCAATTCACTCCTTTTTATCTGTCCACAGCCTCAGACAGTGTGGTATATGGTGGGTTTTTTGGGGGTTTTTTTTACACTGCTCAACTCTGTCAGTTTTAAATTTAGAATTTTTTTTTTTTTAAGACCAACCTCCCTGGAAGGCAGGAATCAAAACATAGATTTCTTCGTGCCCATTACAGGGCAACTCTGAAATGAAATTTTTCTGGGTGGATTGAGGGATATAGGAGAGGAGGGGGGAAGCTGATTTCTGAGTATGTTATGTTTTCTTCCATTTGCTTTGTTTGATTTATTTTTCTTGGGCTGACCTCACACTTTGGAAATTATGCACCTAGTTTTTATCCCTCGTTTTAGTCTTACTTTTCTTTTTCCCCCTCCACCAGCGAGAAGAGATGCCTCATTTTGAAGCCTAAAGGGGGAAATAAGAAAAGTCCTTTGTAATATATTGCCATATTATCACTAAATCCCCTGACAGTTGTGACACAGAAGCAAGTCACCTGTCACTTAAGCTTGAGGTCTCTTTAATTTTCTCCTGGAATTCGCACCAGGCTGTCTTTAATTTGAGGCCTTTATTGGAATTCTGAAACCTTTCTGCCTCCCCAGCGCTCAGATCTATTCTGAGTGCTGTTACAGAATGTATACAATAACCAACAGAGGGATTCGGAGAGGGCTGAAGCACTGTTTATTTAACACTCTGGAGGGATTTTCGTGCTTATTCGGTCCTGGCTACCCGGCTTTCAATATCGCTTTGACAACTGTTATGCCCTTCTCATTAATTTTAAACAGTTAAAACACAGGAAAAAGAGAAAAAGTTTTCATTATTAAAGTGCTTTACTTTTTAATAACAGAGGATTCTGTCCGCCAGGGGAAAGGGCAACCTCGCTAATTTCACATTCATATTAAAAAACGCTGGGAAGGTGACACTCTATGCTGCCTGTGAGGCTTAACAAAAGGAAAAAGTGGAGAGGGTGGGGAGGGGAGAGAAAAAAAGTTTTATGTTTCACGTCCGTAGAAACTTGATAATGACAATGACAAATGTCCACTCTGGGGGAGGCGGCTCCACTTTTGGCATATTAAATCCTTGCATGGATCCTCGACTGGAAAATAACTCGTCAGATTAGTTATTGTTAATAATTCAGTCCGCCACTGCTGTAAGCAGACCTGGCTGTATTTAAATCAGTTTTGTACCTTGTATCTCCAAGAGTGAATTTGGTCTGCCGTGCTTTGCAGCTTGGAGATTCTATATAGACCTTTTTTCCAAAAACACAGTCAAATGACTAGAGCCCCCTTGTCTAGGGTGCACAGATTCAATATGTGGGACAACGGCTCGTGCGCAGGAAAGCGCTGAGATGTCATTGCATAAAGGGGCTTTCAGCAAAGAAGTGGAGAAGGTGCTTCAGGTGCAAGAAGGACAAAGTAGTTCATGATCTAGGAAGACGGTTGGCCAAGAGTGGAAGAAAGAAGTGGAGAGAGCAGCTTGGATGGAGGGTCCCGGGAAGTGAATGGGAAAGAAAAAGGAAATGCAGGGAGAGGAAGATTGATGATGTTTGAGAGTAAGGAGCAGGAAGTTGATGGGGAATGAACCCACATGTGGGGGGTTAATGTATTGTCCTAGGGAAGGACTGGTTATATGTTTCAGTTGATTTATTTACTCTCTGTTTCACTTAGAACAGAGATGGGCAACCTAGGCAAGTGAGTGGACCACATGAGTGGCCCTCCTTCATCTCCCTGGGCCGCATGATTGTAGTAACCAAGACGGTGTCCCAGGATAGGGTAGTTTTTGTACCTGTGCTTGAGTACCTAGAATTTGCAGGATGTGCCGACTGACTTATGGCTACAGTGGCAATGCAGAGGGAGCGCATGGCTCTCTAAGTCAGTGTTGTGTGCAGCCAGCATGCACCTCACTGCACCTGCCCTTGCTTTAAGTGCATGGTGCTCTACTAATACCAGTATGGAAAAAATGATGCGAACGGAAACCAGCGGAATCCTGGGCAACGGTAAATAAAATGTCTCGGGGGCTACACGCTGATGGGCAGCATGGGGCCTTCAGGCCACCAGTTGCCCATGCAACAGAGGAAGGTAAAACTGAGGAAACTGGCCCCAGAGGTGTCGGTCTGGAGTAACTCCACTAGTGTGGACAGAGTCACTCCAGACTGACTCTGCTGTAACCATGATTGGAAGCTGAATGGGTGAATTCCAAAGTGGCTGCCAGCAGGAGAGAGGGGAAAATATATGTAATAGGTGTTAGAAAACACAAAATTAAACCGTATTTGCTCCCTCACGAAGCAGTGCTCACTGGTTGCTTTGACTTTAACATCTTTATCTATACATATTTTTTCCCGAGTAATATTGAGAGGATTACCCTCGTTGGCCCCGGGGTGGTTACTGTGTGATTTTACTGTTATTAAATCTATTCTAAACTGCTTCATTATTCCTGACTCAAACTCTGTCTTTCCTCTAATCCTCCCACCGCCCTCCTAGAAATCCCATGGCACAAACCCCCAGGAAGTGCGGGAACGGGCGACAGTCTTGCAGACGGAATTTGAAAATTATGTGCACTCCAGTGAGGGAACTGTCCGGTGGGCAAAGAAAGGTCAGTAGGTTTCTTTAAACTTATTACCAAATCTCTGGTACAAACTGCACCGGTTCTCCTCTGACGTGGTGGGCTTTGGGGGGGAAAGGCCTACTAGAAGCCTTCGGGGCCAGTGCTCTGAGGGGAGTTGAAATGAACGCAGAAGGCTTTATAATGATATTAAATGTTAATTTCTTGCTCTCACGTGTTAACACACAAATGAAGTTCACACTTGGTTTTCATTAGCATTTGCATCTAGGGGGTTTCTGACCCAGTCACGTGAGTATCTAGGTTGTGTGGTACACTGGGAAGGGGAGAGGCAACAGGTGAACATCTCATCCTGGCTGTAACAGCATTGAATTCCTTGTTCGCACCAGGGACACATTTGACCCGGGGAGACAGACTGTCAGCCAAGGGAGGGGGGGCGGGAGGAGAGAGAGAGAGAGAATACACACATACGTACATACACATGTGTGCACGGAGGAAAGCACAGCAATAGCTAAGGAAACACAATCGCTGGTAACTACAATTATTGAATCTTTCAGTATAAGTCTGCAGTTTCATCTTCTGTCTTTGCCTGGGAGGACGTGTAAAGTAGGGCACAGAGCAATACAGTGAGCTTTTACACCTACATTTGAGAATATGGAAGTGGAGCCGGGGAAAGAAATTGCATCTTCTCTGGGGAAAAATTACTTTGGGAGCAGCCAGAGATACGGTACGGATGCACTGCCTCCTGGCAGAAACCAAAAGGATGGTATAACATGAACTGATATGACTCTCCTGTTCTGCGAGTGGAATGGGCATGCAAAAACAAAGTACCTGTTGTGAAGACCGTGTTTAAGGCAAATTACTGTTACCCAAACTTAATATTGGATGCCCTTTTGAGGACTCCAGACCTACACAATGAACTGCACAGTGTGTGCTCTAGGGTAAATATATAACTAGATTATTTTCATTTCAACCTCTTTCTTCTGTTTCACTTTGCCTCCTGGTGAATTTCTTCCCATCCTGCTCAGGTACGGGCTAAATGCTGCTGTCTTAACTTTTAAGAACACTAGGGGGCTGTGCCCCCTGCTCGCCACGCTCGCCAACGCTCGTTTCTCTGGGAGTTGGCAGTCCAGGCCCCCGCCCACCCAGCTGCTGGAAGGACTAGGGCCAGGGCCATACCAGCCCCAGTCTCTCAGTCTCCAGCCCCCGGGGAGGGTCAGGCCAAGGCCTGGGGGCAGCAGCCCTGGCTCTCCTCCCCAAGTAGCAGGGAAGGGCTGGGGCTGTGCCAGCCTTGGTCTCTGAGGCCCCTCTGGCCTCCAGGGAGGGCCAGGCCAAGGCATGCCAGCCTAATCTCTAAGCTCTTCCCCTCCCCATTGCTGGGGAGGGGAGGGGACGGGAGGGTTTGGCTCGGACCATGGTACACTGGCTCTCCACGTGGGTCCTGGAGAGGACCAGGCTGGAAGTGGGTGGGGCTTGGCTCCTGTGGACACAGAGTGATGTATAATGTCACTCTGATGTCCCACAGGAAACATTTCTTTGTATATAGGCTGGCCAGGATTTAGCCCACCGTCACATGGATGACAAACTCCAGCAACCCCACAGTGCATGCAGATGGCGCAAGGTGGGGGCGGAGCAGTAGGGACATGGCCATGGCAGCAAGATGGCAAGGTCCTTCAGGGGCAAGATGGCAGCCAGATCTGCTTCCCCCACCCCCACTGCACCGGGCTAACCTGAGCGTACGTCTGCTGTCACAGCGGGGCGGGTAATGTCAGTGTTGATAAATGCAAAGTAAAGCATATTGGAAAACATAATCCCACGATATGTATAAAATGATGAGGACTAAATGAGCTATTACCACTCGAGCGAGATCTGGGAGTCATTGTTCATAGTCGTCTGAGAACATCCACTCAGTGTGCAGCAGCAAACAGAATGTTAGGAATCATTAAAAAAAAAAGAGAGAGACTAAGACAGAGAATATCTTATTGCCTCTATATAAATCCATGCTACGCCCACATCTTGAATACTGCGTACAGATGTGGTTGCTGCATCTCAGAAAAGATATACTGGTATTGGACAAGGTTAAGAAAAGGGAAAAAAATGATTAGGGGTTTGGAACAGGTGCCATATGAAGAGAGATTAAAAAACTGGGACTTTTCAGTTTAGAAAAGAGGAGATTAAAGGGGGATATGATAGAGGTCTCTAAAATCATGACAGGTATGGAAAAAGTAAATAAGGAAAAGTTATTTAATTGTTCCCATAAAATAAGAACTAGAGGCCACCAAATGAAATTAAAACAAACAAAAGGAAGTTTTTCTTCTCTCGGCTCACAGTCAGCCTGTGGAACTCCTTGCCAGAGGATGTTATGAAGACCAGGACTTTAACAGGGTTAAAAGAAGAACCAGATACATTCATGGAGGTTAGGCCTATCAATGGCTATTGGCAGGGATGGGTAGAAATGGTGTCCCTACCCTCTGTTTGTCAGGGGCTGCAAATGGATGACAGGAGAGGAATCACTTGATGATTACCTGTTCTATTCACTCCCTCTGGGGCATCAGGCATTGGCCACTGTTGGCAGACAGGATACTGGGCTGGATGGACCTTTGGTGTGACCCTGTATGGCCGTTCTTATGTTCTTACATTAGCTACAAATAACAAAAGTAACCAGAGAGCACTATCCTGTCATGGTATATGCTGGGGAGGGAGAAGAAGCTTCTAGTACATGATGCAGATCCGGGACTCAGGCTGGCTGTTGGATTAAATTTAAGATAAAGGGCTGGATCTGTTGCTAAGAGAATAGAGGTGCTATTTTCTGAATGCCAACTTCTTGAGAAATGACCTAGTGAAGGAATTCTGTTTAGTAATAGATCTTCTAACCCTAATCTAATCCGTACAAAACAACGAATAGTCTTGCAGCACCTTAGAGACTGACAAAAAATGTAGATGTAGGTATCAGGAGCTTTCATGGGCACAACACACTTCTTTAGATGAATGGAGTTTAAGAGGTTCAATTTTCAAATAAATAGCACTGAGAGCAGATGCAGGGGAGAGTAGGAAAAAAGGGAGGGAAGAAATTGTCAATTAGAGGGTCCATGCTAAAAGAAGCTGATAAGAGCACTTAGTACCCTCTCCAACTATTCTTTGTTTGGTTTTTTAGGATGTGGAATGTATTGGGCCATCCAGCCAAAATCTTTGTTGAGACTTCTGTTGTAGCTATCAAACTTGTAAATTAAATTAAGTTCTGTATCCCCTGTCGAGCTGGCTTTTGAAATTGATTTGAAATAATACAGTGACTTTAAAATCCATTAATGAGTGCCCAGGCAAGTTAAAAAGACTAACACGGCTACCCCTCTAAAACTAATCTGTACAATTCAAATGGCAGGCATCAAGATGATGATGAGCAGAGAACTGGGAGTTGGAATTCTACATCTGATGCTGATATAGACCTGGGCATATCATAGAACCTCTCTCTGCCTCGTTTGCGCCTTTATTTCTTGCCTCCCTCCTCTGGAGATGTGTAAGGCTTAATTCGCAAATGTTTTAAAGTGCTTTGAGCTCCTTGTTTGGAAGAGGCTTGAGTTGTGGAACAGCCAAACCTCACTGTTGTGGGTGTTGCTGTGCATCGAGTCCTGCAAATCCATGGATATCTGCTTTATATCTGCGGCTCGTTTTTGCAGTACAGCTGCAGAGACAAATTTTGTATCTAGAACCTTGCAAATTTGCGGATATCCGCTTTCTATGTGTGGGTATCCACGTCCCTGGATGTGGATGCAAATATCGGCAGCTCATTTTTGTGGCTACAGATGTGGATGTAGATAGAGATGTTTGTATCCACACAGGATCCTCGCTATGCGCTGCTTGATTGACGCTGTAGTGCTTTTACTCTGTGACCGAGAGCGGCTCCATGACTTGCAAAAGGGCTGGGAGTAGAATCCAATAGTCTTGGTGCTGAGCTTATGTCTCCAGACCTCGCTCCCTGTAATATACTGTGACAAAAAGAAACAACGGAATGGGCGTGGGTCCTGTACAAACCGTATCCATTTCTGTGCAGCCTCCGTGTAACTCTATACACCCTCGCTTGTTCCTCAGCTATGTGCTGTTGACTTTTGATGGCGGCTGTGGGGAAATGCAACCAGAATGTCATGAAATGTTGAAACATGATGCATCCGCTGTTTGCCTTGAACCTTCTCCTGTTCCACTATCTGCATATGCAAATTTTCCACAACTGACTGGCTTCCATAGATTCCCTTCTTCCTCCCCTTCCAAGCCAAGGATCATGAATAATTAACATTACAGCTGGCTTTTGCCGGCATGGCAGACAGTCTGTTGGAAACCGTGCCAGCGGTGCATTTGTTTCCCTTTTCTGCTTTTTCTGACCTAGTCGGTGGGAACATCCAGTGTTGAATTACAGGCTGCTTCCAAAAGGACCGGCTCCCCACAGTCCTTGGGACGCAGACATTTGGAGTGCTGTACAAAAGGAGGGCTGTAGAGCTTTGATGGGCGTGAAAAAGCCAGTGGGCCAGATTCTGAGCTGGTGTAAGTGGTTGTATCTCCCTTAGGGTTTTTCATGGGAGTTACACCTTGCAGCAGGATTGAATTTGACCCAATAGCTATATAGAGAGAAAGCAGGAGTACTGGGATTTTGAGAGCATTCAAGCATAGGTCCTTATTGCTCTTGGTGTCTTATCGAGAGCCCCTCCAGCAGTCTGGGTGTTTGAAATGTTAAGCATCCTCTCTGAAAAAATTGGTTCCTGGTTATTCGGAGGTCCTTGAAAGACTCACGGTAGGAAATCAGGGGAGGGGTGCAAAGGATTCACCTGAGTTTCTTCTCATCGATTGGGAAAAGGCACTCGCTTTACTCGGTAAACAGAGCTTTGATGGATTCCCAGGGTCCTTCCAGGAGCTGAGCTGTTAAAATGACATTTTTATTACTGTTCATAAACTCCAAGCTCCTACTGCTGCTGCGAGATTACATTTAAGCTGAGGGCAAACTCGCTGGTCCAGTGGCTCAACAAGCCAGGGCGTGGGAGGTTAGAGTTTAGAGCCTGCTGCTGTCGGGGAATGAGAAAAGAAGCCGTGGGTGCAGGTCGGGGCGGGAACAGGGAGCAGGGGATTTTGGGAGCTGGGAAGGAGCAGAAGGGGTGAGCCT